ACCACCACCACCACCACCACCACCACACACCCCGAGACAATGTGCCTTCCGCTGCTTTTCGTGGTTCGACGCCTGATTAATCGAAGCCAAGAGGCGGACGAACACAATTCCAGAGGGATGTCTTACGACAATCAGTCGACCTGGCAGCAGAGACCGAACCCGCAGGGACATGAAGACAGCGGCCGAGGTCATCGTTCCGGAAATAGAGAAACGCGACACTAAGGATGGTGGTTTTTGGCATTGATCTGTACATGCCCCGACCACCAGCGACGACCTCAATCTGGCACTGACCGATAGTTCGCAGGCAGAGTTTGCGGAACCACGAAACGACCGCCGCTTTGACAAGACATGGACTTTTGGCTGTGTCAGTTTAAAAGAGTCTCTTGGGGTATATACAGGCCGATAGACCTATCGGTTATGGCATGGTCATGATGTTCGTTGCATTGATGTTGTTGGTTTTGCCACATCTTGAAGCGACCTTTTGTCTTAGACAGCCGTTTTGCAGTCAATGGATGCGTTATTGAGTCTTGGTATCAATCTCCGATGTTGTTCGTTCAGTGGCAATCTTCGTATGAGCTCCCTTCTCCCTTCGTAGCAACCATGGGCAATGGCAGACCATTTATTCAATTTCTACCGGTCAGCCGTAATAGGTTCCCCCAGTCCTCGAACTCTTGACAGGGTGCTGCTTTCCGCAGTCATTTTTTGTGGCGCAGGTTCAGCTCAAGGCCCATGCTCCAGGCGCGGAGTCTCAATACCGAATGCCCTTTTGTGTAACAAAGGCTCACGGATGGATCTGCAGTCTTGTTTGCATGGTTCGCGCCAGCATGTAGAATGGATGATGTAGTGTGTTTGCTGCACTTTAGAGCGGAACCAATCCATCTGCGGAGACAAAATTTTGGAGCATTTTCATCTCCTTTCTGCAATTGGCTTTTGTATTCAGATCCGCAGCAACCCAATGACGAATCCTGTAAACTCTTTCACCTCTTGTAACATATCTAGGCATCTTAATTCTTCTGGCACCGGTTTGGTTGCCCTTCCAGCATGATCAAAGGGAGCTGTGCCTGCGGGCGCGTCCAATATGAGACTCAAGCTCAGCCCCTTGGCCTGACAGCCTGTCATTGCGTCACTTGTCAACGCGTTTCAGGTGGACCGTATCTAGGATTCGTCGGTATTCCTGCATCGGCAGTCGAATGGAAACAGCAGCCAGATATCTGGTATGCGAGTGACATTGCGGAGCGCGGCCACTGCAAGTCCTGTGGCTCTGCGGTCTTCATGCGGTACTTTTTCGAGGCAGATCGCACTGCGGTGACTCTGGGAACAGTGGTCGAGGCCGAACCTGCTCTCCCAGCCTTGGGGGCACACATCTTTTTAAAGGACAAAGCAAAGTATCTTGTTCTTGCAGATGACGGAGCCACCCGATATGATGAGTTTTCTGAGGAGTTTCACGACAAGATCAAACAATGGAGAAGGCAACAGCAGAGGAGGGAAGAGGGCGAAACAGTAAGCATGCACCTGCAAGCAGCCTCTTTTGACTGTGACTGAATTGTCCCAGAAGTGAAGTGAAAAGGGAAGCATATGGAAGCAAACGTATCTGGCGACAACAACAACAAAGATGATCAATCAGACCAGTGAATTCTGCCTCACCAGCTCCAAGATGAATGTTTCTTTCTGTCCTCCTCATCTTGCACCCATTCTCGACTGCTCCATCTGCCCAACTTTCCCTCTCACCACAACTCTTTCTTCCCCTCTACCTTCACATCCTCATCATCACTGCTCACTTCTCACGCAACCATGTCATCAGAATCGTCACTAGCTTCATCCTCAAAAGTGCCGCCCGGTGCGCCCACTGAGCCCAAGTCGTTTCGTCTCTCAGGAATGGCCTCCCGTTCACGACTCCATCCCAACCCAAATCGCTGGGCTCGCGTGCCTTCCCCTTCAGTGCCCCGTCACAGCAGCAGCCCCCTCGTGCACAGTCCTTTGCAGCAGTCGTTCCCTGCTTATCCAGACCCATCAAAGTCAGCTCCTAATTCTCCAGGAAGTGCAACCATGCAGCAAACGCCTTCTCGTCGGTCACGGCCTACCGAGCAAGGTGTTCGCCCACGAGGAGAGTCACGTTCGTCATCTGTCCCCATAGTTGTGCGGATTGAGCAAGATTCAGAGACTGAAGGTGAAGGTGAAGGCACATGTCAGCGCTCAATGCACATCCGCACCCGACCTAGCTCACGGGCTAGTTCATCCTTGCCCTCACCAGGAGACAGCCAGGATAGTCACAACCGTCGCTCTGTGAAACATCTTACTTGTTTCTGGTGGTGGGAAAAAGGGAGTTGCAAATACTCTGAAGACGATTGCTGTGAGTTGATGGCTCCAGGCTGAAAGGCGTTCAGGGGCATTCCAATGCGGTTTTCCAGTACTAATATTGAATTAGTATACGCACATCATGATACGGGCCATTACACGGCTGCACCTCGCCAAGTGATTCCAGGGGAACCGGCCAAAGCAGGCAGATCTCTGGAACGCGCATTGAACAAGCTTGCTTTTTCAAATCGGTCATCCGCCTCGGTGTCGTCTCTTGCTGGCGTGAACACTCACAATGCCGAATGCGAGAGTACCGGCAATGGCAGCAATGCAGTCTCCAGACCTGTCACTCCGCTCATAAACCACAGCCGGCCTAGCACCCCTTCTCCTCGCATGAGCATGGACCTTGGTCACGCTACTCACCTCCAAGCGGATAATGAGTTCCTCCGCGGTCTCGTCCAGCAAACGCAACGAGAGAAGCACACTTTGATGGACACAATCGAGGCTCTCCAAGCGGAAAAATCTCAGTTGAATGCGCAAATCGAAAACATGAGCCAGGAGCGCCACGCACTTCTTACAGAACGGGACATCTTGCACGCTACAATTAAGAAGCTGCAATTTCCTACTGGAATCAACCCCTATATTCAGGGTCATAGCCACATTGTACCAATGAGATCCCCGAGTGCCACCACTTTTCCAAGTAACAATCCCTGGGGTGCGATTGGAAGTGGGAGTCGAGGAGCTAGCACCAGCCCAAACGGCACACCTGTCGACAGCCCTGCCATGCAACCGCGCAGCTTCAGTTTCGCCGCCCCAGCAGCTGTCGGTCCTGTGGGCAGCATCCCTGCTCATCTCGCCTACAACACTGCGCGGATGGGTATGAAAAGCTCATCTGACACAACCTTGGACACCGCTGTGCCAACCCATGGATCCGTCAACGGTAATGGTGTCGAGCGTGGAAATATAAAGGCAGATGCACAGCTCGCCGAGAACCTTGTCTCAAACAACATGGAAGGGGAGAGGCTGAAGGATCTGTTGAGCAGCCTGGGACCGAGTTTTTAAGACCGTCATTCCCTACAAAGCTGAGAATTGCGACACGACATTATCTGCGTGACCGAAAAAAGATCCACAGAAAGATCATCGTCGCCTCTGGTCAACTTACGCGAGGCTTCGCAGTCGCCGAAGGCTCAACAACTTACACACCAATAAGACCTGGATACGTCTGACATAATATGTCCCCGAACGACAGTGTATGTGAGAAAATAACGAGATACCTGGACCAACAGCATGTGCAATACAACGCGAAAAGTGGTCTTATCAGGCTTTGCCCCTAATTTCTAATATGTCCCGAGTGTTCACCAGAAAACCACAAATATCCCAAACAAAGAGGAAAAGCAGGAAAGAGGCCCAATACTGTCTAAGTGAAATGTCACATCAGACTTGAAAGCTGTGGAGCGACTGGACGAGCTTGCTGGATGAGGGCGAGGCAGGCAGGCAGATATTGGGATCGATCAGGGGCCTAGACATGAGGATGGAAAAACAGTTGAGCTTTGATGAATCGGGGCTGGATAATGAACCGGACAGTGGTGTTTCTTCCCTCTCAGTCCTGATACTTGCTAAAGGTGGACCAGTCCTGTGCTGAATGGGACAATATTCACACGCTACACCATGCTGAATAGGAAATCCTATACAGTAGCAATGAGCTTGGATAGATAGAAGAACCTCCCCCCCTTCCCACTTGTCATTGGTGTCAAGTTTCTTAGTTGTCTCCCCTTTGCTGAATTCTTCATGAAAAAGCAATCTTCTTTTGCGCGCATTGACGTCTGAGGTACTCGGTATTTTCCTCTTTGAGTTTCCAGGCCGGGGACAACGGTTCGAACGATACTCAAACGCGCTGGAGGCATGTAGACCTCACTACACGGCACCAAAAGATCAGAAGGTGCTCTGCGCCAACCGACTGGCGGCGTTCCTAGCATCGACACGATCCTCGTCTTCGTCTTCCTTGACCCTCTCCAGACTGGCTCCGGTCGCACTTCTCGGTCGCCCCCCTTGAGCCACTCCTGCACCGTTCGTCCCATTTTCACTCTCTTCTGGAAGAGGAACACCCAGCGCGCCAGGGCCAAAGCTTCCAGACATGCTTCTAGAAAGAGCATCCCTGCTCCGCGGGACACCGGACCACGCGTCGCCTTTCGCACCCTGACTGCTGGCCATGCTAATCCGCCTTACGGTGGGATGGTTCTCCCGCCCCAATCTGCTCAGACCGCCAGACGCATCAATTGCCCGGATATCCGGCCTAACACTTTCGAGAGTTGCAAGCGTGCGGCGCTCTGCTTCGATTTGACGCAAGACGTACTCACGAAGGGAGAGCATGAATTCGGCGGACGTGCGACTGAACCAGCGTCTTTTCTCGAGCAGTAAATTTGCCGTCACGCGTTGGGTTTTGGAGCGAAGGTAGTTTTCTTGAGAGATTGCTTCGTCGAGCGCCGAGATCGCTTCATCAACTTTATCTCTGCGAACGCTGGAAGAGCTTTTGAGGCGTTGGACCGCGTTTTCCTTACTCCGACGGGATGCCTCTGTCTGGAGGAGCTCCCGGAGCAGGATATGTCGATTCGTCAAAGTTTCCTTGACGATGAAAGCGTCAGAGGAGTGATACGCAAGTGCATCCCCTAATGTCGTGGCTTCAGCAGTTCCTTGCGCCGCGTGGTAATCCCCGCATGTTTGAATAATGCGACCGAGTTTGCGGTATGCTGTCGCCAGACCTGGGTGTATCTCTTGAACACTCATTTGCCCAAGTTTTTCTCCAAGGGACGATTCTGCGAGGCCAAGTGCTGTGAAAATGTCAGCAAACGGAGACCTGAAAGCGTTCCACCCACAACTCACCGCGTCTGGCCTTAACAACCTTCTCAAGTCTTTGGCTTGTGTCCAGCGAACTGAGATAGAAGGCCTTGACAATAGGCCTCGCATCGTGCAGCTCAGGCGTATCATCAGGCGGTGGTGCGAACTGTTTTAAGACTTTCCGCCTTACACCAGTCGCTGGTTGTTTCATTCTCACCACAGGGGAGTACCCAAAATCACTCTCCACAAAAAATACCATCTCCTCATCACGCATGAGGACATCGTTGCCACATACAGCATTCAACCATCTTTGTATTGCCGCCTTGACCCTGGCTTCATCTTCGTCAGTGCCTACTCCGGCCGAAGTTTGAGCGGGAGGCACGGCAGGAACAAGGGCCTCTGGGTTCGAAGATATAAGATGGTCCGCAAGTTTGACGAATTCCGAGTGTGTTCGACGGACATCTCGGAATTGAGTGGTACGAAATTTGGGGAGGTTAGTCTTTCAGAACTGTTAGCTTGCACCCTCTCCATAGACAACCGCAACGTACATAAACATCAAATCTGATAACGGGATCTTTGCGTCCCGTTCGCTCCAGCGCAGTCACTTTGGCTTGCAGTTTATATTGTGGTACCGGCCTGCTCTGCCTTGCGCTATGATATCTTGCTGCGCCCGGTCGTTGCTGCGGCTGACCAGCATACTGTTGCCCAACCGCTGCTCCTTGGAGATCTTGGGGATGTATTGCGGAAGCCTGTGCATGCGCTGCGGCCTCTTCTGGATTTTGATGCTGGGGAGCAGCGACCCGATCTCCGGAGGCCCCGCCATCTCCAGGGGCAGACACATTAGATTGATTCGGAGGAGGTAGGTAAGGGCTATCAGGAATGCTGTCTCGGGATTGATTGTAGGAATGCCCTCGGATCGGTTGTGGTGACTCTGGAGAATCTGGTGGGGGTTGGGCAAACCCTCTAGAGGCACGGGGAGAAGAAGAACCCCAGGGTGAGGCGCCGTGAAGAGCGTCAGCCTCACTAGCAGCAGCTGAGTAGTCCATAGTTGCGAGTGTGGCAGCAGAGAACTGCTCACGTTGTAGTGCAGACAATCAAGCGGGCATTCGGCAGTTGTACGGAACCAAGACTGAGCTTTCCAAAAAGGTGTGTTCAGAGGTGGTGAGGAACAAGTCGCGTAAAGTCCTGTAGAGTTTGTAGAGCAGGAGTGAGGTCAAGCTGCTTGATCGGTGGTATGGTTGGTCTATCACTTGTGGTCCCTGTTCATTGTCTACAAGTCGGAGCAAAGAGTTGCAGCGGGAAAACTGCGCCTGCCCACCAGCCTAATATGGTTAGTGGATGCTGCTGCTTTATGAGGGACAGGATTTCTACATTTTCTCGAGCCTCGTCAGTTTTGAGGACTTGAAGCATCTAGCTCAAGTCACTCATTCGGGTCCTGCTTTCGTATCCTTCTCAGCGCTTGTGGCCTTGAAATTTCTGGTGTATAATCTCATGTTGATGTGGTTGGCTAGGACCATTTCCACTTCTGATAGGGGATGAAAGTCCATGCGCAATTCATTCGGCACTCCCCTCTAATTGATTTTTATCGGTTTCGCTCTGCTTTTTCGTTTATTCGGACTCAGTCAAGAAATATTCGGTCATCATGTCCGCGCGCAGCACCTGCAGCATCAACACTACAGAAGCCAAGGCCTTCGAGGACAAGAAATATTGGCATCATTGCCCATATCGATGCGGGCAAAACGACCACAACGGAGCGCATGCTCTATTACAGCGGCCATACTCGTAGGATAGGTGATGTCGACGAGGGTTCTACCGTCACCGACTTTCTTCCTGCTGAGCGGGCTCGTGGGATCACCATTCAATCTGCGGCCATCACCTTCGAGTGGCCACCGGCGCATGCTGCACCACCTCCGACCTCGACCGATGACATTGAAGTTCAGCCTCGTGCACGTTTCCCGCACACCATTAATCTAATCGACACGCCGGGGCATGCTGACTTCACTTTCGAGGTCCGCCGATCGTTGCGCATCTTGGATGGTGCTGTTTGTATTCTGGATGGTGTCGCTGGGGTTGAAGCCCAGACTGAACAAGTATGGGCCCAAGCTGGCGAATGGAACATCCCACGAATAGCGTACATCAACAAGCTAGATCGTGACGGCGCGGCTTTTGGAAGAACCGTTCGTGAAATCGGCTCTCGCTTGGGCGGTTGGCCCGCGCTTTGTCAAATCCCATGGTTCGAGGGTGGAAAGGGCCGTTTTACTGGCGTGGGAGATGTTATCAACTTGGAAGGATTATTGTACGAGTGTGGCGGAGATGGCAAAGCGATAGAACGCTATCCCTTTAAGCGGTTGGAGCAAGAGCATCCTGAGTTTGCACAGGAATTGCGAAGAGCTAGGACGGCGCTGGTTGAACTACTCAGTGAGCATGACGATCAGCTTGTCGAAGCCTTTTTCGACGCCGAAGAGGACCACCTCAAAGTGAGTCCTGCTCAGATTTGGGAGAGCCTGCGAAGGTGTCTCCTCACACCGCATTGCACCGTTATCCCAGTCTTTGCTGGCGCCAGCTTTCGTAATATTGGCGTACAGCCTCTCTTGGACGCTGTCAACAATCTCATGCCATCTCCGGAAGAGCGGCCAGATCCTGAGGTTGGTCTTGGGTCGATCTCTGGAGGGCTTTCGCAGCTGATCAGAGGGGATTTGTCACTTGAGAAACCAGCGTCAAAGTCCAAGAAGAAAGGTCCTGAGTTGGTACCCGCGGCGATCGGCAAGGCTTTGCAGGGTTGTGCGTTAGCATTCAAAGTGGTCAATGACCCACGGAAAGGTATGCTTGTCTACATCCGCGTCTATTCGGGAGTGATAGAACGAAATGCCCTCCTTTTCAACACCAATCTTCAGAATTCGGAGCGGGCGACAACTTTACTGCGGATGTATGCTTCGGAATCGGTGCCTGTTCAGTCACTCCGAGCTGGCGAAATTGGTGTCATTGCAGGTTCGAAGTTTGCTCGTACCGGAGACACCCTCATCTCCTATGCTGGAAACAAAGCCACACCACCCGAACCACTGCAAAGGCTACAACTGCGGCCTATCAAAGTGCCGCCACCTGTATTTTTCGCGGCCATTGAACCAAATAGCTTGCGGGAAGAGAAAGATATGCACGAGAAGCTTGCGCTGCTGTTGCGAGAAGACCCCAGCCTCCAGGTGCTGCAGGATGAAGATACAGGCCAGACGCAAATCAGTGGTATGGGCGAATTACATCTTGAGATCGCTCAAGATAGACTTGTCAACGATCTAAAAGCAAAAGCACGCATGGGCAAGATTGCAATTGGTTATCGTGAAACACTACCACAACCTTCAAATATCATCACAAAGGTGTTGGAGGGCGAACGTGCGGCATCAAAAGGCAAAGCAGGGTGTACGGCCCTCGTGGAACCTCTGGAAGGCGAATCTGCAGATGATGTTGATGAGTCTGAGGAGAAATTCATCCATGAAGAAGACGGAAACCTGGTCATCATCGAGACACCAACTTTAGACCAACGAGGAAGACCACTCGCCGGTGACTCAGGGGGCTTGCCACCACACCTCCTGCTTCCCGAAATCCGAACTGCGTGCCTCAACGGCGCTTTAGCAGCTTTGAGCCGTGGCCCCTCCTGGGGCTATCCAATGCGTAATACAAAGGTCACCTTGACCCTTCGCCCAGAGGAGCACATCTTTAGCACGGAAACGACATATGGATCCCTGACGGCTGCTGCTCGCCTGGCCACGATCGCGGCATTCAAAGACGCCACCAAGAGCAGCCCGTGTTCTCTGATGGAACCTGTGATGAACGTCGATATCAACGTGGATGAAGCAAGCTTGGGGAATGTCATCCAGGACATCTCTTCTGGTCGGGGAGGCCACATTGTCTCCCTTGGTGACCATGAAGAGGAGCACGCTCAGACAGGCTTAGATTCCAAACGTATCGACGTCCGGAAGATTTATGCACCCAAGGATCCCTTTGAGTCCGGCTCATCGTTGGCTGGAGAGGAACACCAGAGGGTCAATTTCCAGAGGACTGTAAAGGCAAAGGTACCTCTGAAAGAGATGGTCGGTTACCTCAAACATCTCCGCAGCATGACTGGAGGTAGAGGAACGTTTGTGATGAGTGTCGATCGATTCGAGAAGATCACGGGTCCTCGAGAAAGAGCACTTATTGCAGAGCTTCACGGCGGATTGTGACTGACGTATATAGAATGTACATGTATTGTATTGTATCTATTAGACTGTAAGAATGTCAGCCGCCGGCGCGGACAACTCAAAGGTTTATTGCCAAATCGGGGGTTCTGACTGGCTCACCACTCTTTGACTGAACCAACAACAGTCTCTACTCGAACTACATACAATCTAGACCACGTGCAGCAACACCGGAGGACCTACACACCAACTTATATCTATACACGCCATAATTTTCGAGGAGATTTTGATTTCGAGCATGTATTTCCGCCCAGGCTGACCCTGAGGAGATCCGAGAAAGTGAGGCACACGAACAACTTTGCAACCCCCCCTCCCCACCACGCCCAAACAATCAACAAGGACACGAACACAAAGATGGCGGCAAAGGCCATGTGGGAGGTCGATCCGGAGACTAGGAGCAAGGTTCGCCTTTCCTGGCACAACGTCTCGTCTTTGGGCCCGAGTTCCTGACTATTGTATCTTTTGCAGCTTGCAGCGTTGGGCAAAAAGGAGGGCGCCGGCAACGACAAGTGTTGTGACTGCGGCGCCCCTTCACCGCAATGGGTGAGTTTTGGGAGTCCTCCAAGCAAAAGACTGGCCTTTTTTCCAATTTGTCGTGTATCTCTTCTATTCTAATCGGCTGCACAGGCGTCCCCCAAGTTCTCTACCTTCATCTGCCTCCAATGCGCCGGCGTGCACCGTGGACTCGGAGTCCACGTCTCCTTTGTGCGATCCATATCCATGGACGCATTTAAACAGGCCGAGATCCTCCGGATGCAATACGGCGGCAACAAGGCCTGGCAAGACTTCTATAATAGGAATAGCCCCTCACTCCCATTTGAGGAGGCCACGATAAAAGAACGATATGACTGCGAGGTCGGCGAGGAGTGGAAGGAAAGACTGTCTTGTCAAGTGGAGGAAAGAGAGTTTGATAAAGCCGCCTTCCAAAGAGAAAGACAGGCGATACTACAGAAGCAGGCAAGCCGTTCAGTTACGCCGGCTGGAGGTGTAAGGAACAGCAGTACCGCCGTATCAAGCAACAGCCGTCCGGGCAGTCGGACTGCGTCCCCAGCACCCTCCAAAGGAGGACGCATAACAGGCGATCAAAAGGCCCAAAATGAGGCCTACTTTGCGCGCATGGGCGAGGCAAATGCCAGCAGACCGGACTCCTTACCACCCAGCCAGGGCGGAAAGTACGGCGGCTTCGGCAGCGCGCCGCCAGAACCCTCGCAGCAGCAGGGTTCAGGCGGGATCCCCTCCACCGACGACTTCTCTAAGGACCCTGTGGCGGCCATAACGAAGAGTTTTGGCTGGCTTGGAGGGATGGTCAGCAAACAGGCTAAGCTGGTGAATGATTCCTACATTCAACCAACGGCCCGAAATGTCGGTTTCAATTCCCAACCCCGACTTGGTCCCCATTTTCCCCTAGCTAGATGAGGAGCGAACTATCTTACTGACATGCTGTGATCTAGATCGCCTCCTCAGACTTCGCCACCCAAGCTCAAAAGGCAGCCGCGGCCGCGGGACAGGGCATCCAGACCGGTGCACGCGGCGCCGCCGAATCGTTCAACAAATTCGTCGAAGGCCAGGACGAGAAGGCCGCGGCCGCGGCGTCATCGAAGCGGGCAGAGCCGGAACGGAAAGACTTCTGGGACAGTTTCGGCCAGGGCGGAGGCGGGGGGAACAGCAGCATCGGGACGAGTGCGATGAGGAAGACGACCTCGGGGTCGGCCACGGCCGCGAACCCGCCGCGGAAGGGTAAGGAAGACGGCTGGGGCGACGACTGGTAGAAACGCTTCCACCCAACCAGAAACATGTAGGGCGACGCCGATCTTGAACGACGGGTACATCGCCCGTGACTATACACCTAGGAAATGCAGGGCTCAGAAGCAGGAAAAGAGTAGAAAAGGGGTTCGAACCTGACATTTTGGAAACCCACGATTCATCATCCCCCGAGGAATTGCTGCAAAGATGAGATTTTGGAGGCAGTCGGAACCCTTTTGCATACCTCGACGACTGAGAAATAGACAGCACGGCCTTCCTCGCCGAGTCTATCGACCGGTGACTCTTCTGAGAGAAGAGACATCAGACAAGTATACATGGCGTCGTCAGGAAACTAGACATTCCTCTTGAGGCTCTTTGTCAATTCAGGCTGAGGTTATACCAACTTTGGCCATTAGTGACTGCTTTCCGCTGTATGGTAATTCTCGCATCGACTAGCATTTCCTTCATTTTCGACATAGACTACATTCCCGCCAGATTCTATCCTCTTGATCCTACAAGAACAGGCCATGATTTGTGTCCGCTTCCATCAGCCAGGAGAGGGTGTACCACCTCCGGAAGCGCACGAGACACTTTCTGTTCTGGCAAAAGCGTGTCACCTTCCACCTCCCCTCCACGAGTCCATGCCTCTACCTCGATATCCTCCTCCCCTTCCTCTTCCACCTCCTCGTGCTCCATCCAACCTAGCCTGGCCCTTGCGCCCGAATCCAAACTCGGGTCCTTTGTCAACCCACTCTTCTCCGTCCCTGTCCCGCTCAAAAGAGTACCGCTTCATGCCCTCATCACCACTTCGTCCCATCTCCTCCCAACCGGAGCGTAGGGCGCGGAACATGTCTAAGCGCTCATTCGCCACCGACGAAGGTACCGGTTTATAGTATAGTTTCGGTTTGGTGGAAGTGGACTCAAAGAGTTCGTCGAGCGCTTTGAAGCCCGTGCCATTGTTTGAGGCCGTGTTTTGGCTGCCACCTGGAGGCCCGCGCTGGTGGTCCCGGCTTTGATTGCTTCTAGGGATCAAAGTCTCACGGTCCGGATGAACACCTGCGGAGACCGAGTCTGACTGCTGCCTGTCAAACGGGGCGCGGGACCCGCGACTCTGGTCGAAGGGCGGTGGGCGAGGCTTGCTGGTGTCGATCTCCTGGAAAACTGCCTCGATTCCACTTTCGCCTTCCTCGTAAGCTACTTCAAAGCGACGACCATTGCCTCCTCGACCAAAACCACTGCCAGTCTCTTGGTCAATCCATGTTTGCACCTTACTTGGAGGAACATAGTCCACAAAGAGTGGTTCGCGGAGAGGTTCATCCGGAAAGCGTGATCCATGCATCGCAGAACGGACTCGCGAGGCGGCTGCGACGGAGGTGAACGTCACAAATGCATGGGTGCGAATACTGTCGAGATAGAATGTGGTGATTGGATCGGCGTTATCAGAGGAACGCGATTTTGCTATTGATACAATGTGGGCGCGGAGCGAAGGGATATGTAGGGGTCGTTTGAAGTTGCGAATGTAGATGGATGATGTTGCTGGGTGGATGGCGGGTGGGATGTCGCGGTCTTCTGCTGAAGTCGTTGATCTGGGAGGAGAAGCAGACGCTCTTTCATCGTGGGCCCGGGGTTCGCTTGCAGTGGTGCCCTGCTGCTCGGAAAGGGGTTTCGTGGGGAGTTCTCCATCACCAGATGTTTCGACGACAACCTCAGCAGGCTCTCCATCCATAGCCTCTCCCGGGGCATCTTTCCTCTCTCCTATTCCCGCTTCTGTTTGATCAGGGACATCTTCTGCCCTCGACTCCTGTGTATCTTCTGCCAGCCTCGCTCTCTTACGAGCCACATCCTGTGTCGAGGGGACGGGTGTGGCGCTTCTTTTTCTCCGCTTTCTCTCGTCTTCTGCAACATCTTTGGAATTCAGTTGTGAGGAGTTGGTAGTATTGGAGTCTGATAGATTTTCTGTTGCGGGTGGGGTAGCGAGCACAGTAGGTGTCTTCTCTGTAACACTTTGGTCGATTATTTTGGCTTCATCCTTTGCTGGCTCTCCTGCGCCGGTGACTGCGTCATCACTTTGTACAGGAGCCCCAGGCACTTGCTTGATCTCTTCAGTAGTGTCTGCAAGTTTCTCTGGTTCGTCCTTTTTCGCATCCTCATCAGGCTGTGTGGCAACCTCTGGAGTAGGCTGTTCCTCGGGCTTGCTCAGAGCTTTTGCCTGGCTATCCTCTGCCCGGGCTGCTGAAGGAATGTCTGCTCCGGCTTGGTCTCCTCCAGAGGCAGGGTGTTCTTTTCCGCTAACATCCTCGCGCGCTTCATCGTTTTGGGTGTCATTCGCGGCTGGGTCAATAACGTGGCTGGGCGCATCGTTTCCGTTTGCCTGCGGCGGAGGTCGTTCCTCGACACCTTCAGTCTCTTGCTCACCCTCAGCCTCAACTGATTGATTGGCATTCTGCACCTCGTACTCTTCGAGCTTGTCGATGTATTGTTGTTTTAATTTGAGACCTGTCAGAGGGATATCACGCGACTTGCACTCCTCCTTGAGGTCGGCGACCTTCAACTTGGCCCAATCTGTCATGGTTGCAGCAGATGGTTGCGTGCGATTGGTAGAGGAAGGTAAGGGAGCAATCAGGGATAGAAGAGCGACGACCAAAATGCGCCATCTACGGGATTGGATTGAGCCATGTGTCGTTAAAGCAATGGGGATCGTTTGACTTTTGAAATGCGACGCGCCAAATCGCATGACAAGGACGAGTCCAGACAGTCAGGGGAATGACGTAACGCCTCGGCGCAGTCACATGATCTGTGCTTCCCTGGCAGCCTGGCACGTGTCTGGATACTTGTGACTGCGTTGGTGCCTCTGACTCCCCCAACATCTCACCTCAACCTGGTCAATAACCAGTCAGTCCGACAAGGAATGAGGGCTTCTCTTCCTGCTTCTGTACAAGGAGGATGCCATCGGAAGAGCTGGTGATGTAAAGGCTCCAGGTGGGTTTGCGATCCCTCCCCAACTACTTGTGTTTTTCACACATTTGCCACTCAAACCACCAGGGCGGGTCTTTGCCTCACTATTCTGTCGTGGACCTTCTCCTCAAAAGCTCTCCGAATATCGTTCTTTTGAGGACACAACCGAGTCTTTTTCGAGATAGTCAGCCTGAGGACTTTTCCACTCGCGAGGGTCAGCGTTCCAATCGGTATTTTGCCGACCTTGACAGGGGGACCTCTCTCGAGCTCGGAAGCCAGGGGTGACCGCAAAGCACTCAGATATTTACTCCTTGTTTTTGATATCGATCGATTACTCAAGGGTATACGTGGTCCGGATCTTGGGTTCATCCACGTGGGAGTCGCTTCAGTCTCGATACAAAAGCGGACAGACCAATGTGTCTCAACCCCTGAACTAGGGTCAGCCTCGTGGGCCGCTTGAAACCGAAGTCCACACAATGTTTGCCTCAAGTTGACGGCACCAAAAACCGCCGCCTTGGTCGGTGATCCGCGTCCAATTTACCAATAATACCCTCAGCCTTTCGACTTCTTTCTGAAGCGACGAAGCAACTCAATCGAATAACTAAATCATTCCACTTGTCAGCGCTCTGTACCTCGTGCAACGCCAAGTTGGCCGTCCACCGCTTCCTCCCATCTTGGCGGATTTGTATCAAGTTATCCTCGACGCATTCGCCTTCAGAATGTTGACTACATCTCAAGTTGAATCTCCCTCCTAGATCCTGTGGAGTTGGCCTCGGCTAGGGCTAGGGCTAGGACGACCTGCTGGAAAGCATGGCTTCAGCTAAATGGCAATATAAACCAAGGTGAGTCTCCTCAGTTTGATTCCTCTTCCTCATTGTGGTCAAACAATTCTCATTCCACTGTTCCTGCATTATCATCATCAACCGCTGGCCGGTACATTCGTTTCTTCCGCGAGCTAGTCTCTCTTTTCAACGATTCGGACTCGCAGCACGATCTTTACTTGCATTTCAACGTCTGTCCCAACCTTCCTTTCACAATGGTCTTCAAAGCAGTTGCCATTGCTACACTACTTGCCGTGGCGCAGGCCCGTTTTAATCAAGAACAAATTCCGATCCCAGCCATTGCAGCTGTTCAAGGTGGCGCTCCAGGAGTGGCGCAAACCATTGCTGGTGCTGCTATAAGCGATCTACTGGCCGCAACCAATGCCTGTGACAAGCTCAAGCGTGGTGACCAAATCATAGCCGAGCTGGGAACTGGGGCTGACGCCATTGCTGCTGCTATTGGCATCGTTGCTGCGGAGAAGAATTTCAACCCCTTCGTGCAGTCGATTCCTACCATCTGTGATGACCCTACTCTGCCGGCTACAGATGTCCTCCGAGGTATCACGCCTCAGATTGATCCGGCAGTCGTTGGCTCAGATATCGCAAACGCCTTGTCCGCTACGACCCGGGTGACTCCGCTGGACGCTACCGGCAAGAGTGTCGCAGACCTGCTGGCCGAAAATGGCTTCACCAACTTCACTGCACAGTCTGCTACCGGTGCTACCGGTGCTGCTCCAGCTGGATCGTCGAATGCTGCAACCGCTGTCTCCAGCGCCACGGGGGCCGCCGCAACTACAGTAGCCAATGTTTGTGGCGCCGTTGACACATCTGGTCAGTCCACTCTTCGGATCTTGGATAAGAGCAATACTGACATTCCACAGTTGTAGCCTCTACAACCACAGCCGCTGTCGCAACCATGACTGCCGCGCCAGCTACGACAGACAATGCCACCGACACCTCGACCGTGAGCGGAGCTGATTTCGGTCTCTGCGTGCCGACCATGAAATTCGAAGGCGGGCTCGGTGGCCGGCCCGCCACTGAATTTACCTTCTTGCCTATCGACCCGCTCTGTGCTCAGGGTCAGCAGGAGGCGTTGAATCCAAGTATGTTACAATGCTGTTGTCTGTCACGTTGCACAATCACGGAGCGGACTAACCGATTACTCATAGATATCATCACCAACCGAATCTGCGACCAACTCACCAACGTCTGTCAAGCCAATGACGCCGCGAAGACCTTGTGCCGAAGTGTCCAGGCCCAGATCCAGGCGCTAGGAACCAGAGACAAGTCGACCGCAGACACCTGGAACACGAACCTCGGGTTCGCTGGGGCGGTCACGAACCCTGACGGCGGTCCTGCCGAGCCACCCGCGAAGATGAGAGTGGTTCGGTCTTATAGAGACTACTAGCTAAGTCTATCATCCCTGAAAAGGAATGGGTAGCATCGAGGCACTCTGTGGTCCGTGGCTCTTGTCTTTTCTCCCAATAGCTCCAATACGTGTAGACACTGCATGTATGTACATATATATCATTAAGACGTCACAATACAATTGTCTGAAGAAAAATGCTTTGATGCCAGTAGAACGACAGGACGGGAACAGTTGTACTCGTAGACTGCAGTACCTTTATGGAAGATAAGACTGGTCATGTTGTCATTTACTATACTTGGTAGTACTAGGTACCCTTGTTACATGCTTGATCAATCCATTTAGGACTAGTACCTCGTACTTGTAAGTGCAAGTACCCCGTATTCGCGTACATTAAGCGATTCGTTTTTGCTTGCTTGCTTTTTGAGTTGTTCCGGGTTTCCTCGTGAGAGAAAGGCAGATTCGCTGTTTTTCCTTTGTCATGGCGACCGACCCATCGTAGCGTATCACTCATTCATTCCATTCCATTCTGGGTTTGGGTGGGTAAAAATTGGAACTCGACGCCAATTCCACAACGACGGTGAATATCCTTTCCATCAAGTCGATACTGGGCAAAGTCGTGCAGGGTCCCGCATATATCTGACATTTCCTTTCATTGGGCCCTGGTCTCTCCTGTACGCAACGCAAGGCATCGCGACCGGGTGCCGGATTCGAAGCGGGTTGATCAGGACGACCGGGTTTTCTGGATCCATTCGATCGCGTCGAGTAGATACGGCACCTATATCAACCGTAGATTTAGCCTCTCTCCCCTGTGCCTTGGTAACAACATTGAACAGAAGTTGGGGTAGGCAAGTATAAAAACACAAGGCGAAAGCCTTCGTCCAAGACACAGTCAACACGCGACAGGCAGATTATCAAGACTTACGAATTTCCGGGGATCTTCTGTGGCCGGGAAGTGGCCCAGGCCCTTCATGGCCTTGAAGTTCGCGCCGGGGATCTTCTTCGCCGTGGTTTGAGACATTTCGGGTGTTGTCGACCAGTCGTATTCGCCGGTGAGGAAATAGATGGGACACTTCTTGACGTCGATGGAAGCCACGCGGTCACGAGCGTCGAAACCGCCAAAGTAAAAGTCCAAGTCCCCGTGGAAGATCCCGTAGGCTTGACCCGAGTACAGATGCTGGAAGAAGCGATCAGCACGAGGGTAAGTGAGAGGAGTCAGGGGAATAGGGGATCTTTGACTTGTGGTGTCGGGGGTCGCCATACCCAGATGAGCATCTTGTTGACTTTGGGGCTCTGAGGTGCCATCATGCCATAGACTGCAGTGTGTCAGTCATTTCAAAAGCCTGGACATCGTCTCTAACAATTCACTTACTCCAGTCTGGGTTGAACAGTGCTTGGTTGCACACGGGACTCTTGTCATTAAACTGTCGGTCCATGGTCAAGTAGTCGCAGCCCTGGAGAGGAATGGTGCCTCCAGCACCGACTTCTTCTGCCCTTATCGCGACAGCAACACAAACTTGACCCGCCACTAGAACACAAGTAGAGTCAGCAATGTCACTTCTCAAAGTCTCTTACCATCTCAATTGGCATCGTCCGCTTTTGTGACCGCGGAGCTTGGTGGTAAATGATTAGACAGGGATGGGACTTACTGCTGGCACCACAGATGATCGGCTTGTTGAGTTTCAGTGCTTTGACCATTTCCCTGATGGTACCAACATAGGCATCCTCGTTGTTCGTATGATTTCCCGGAATATGGTTGCTACCCGGAAAACTTCTGCCGTGAGCAGGCAAGTCGAAGGCGAACATGGTGCATTTTTCGCGCATGCGCGCATCGTTCATCACACCGTGATATTGCCGACTATCACTTCCAGCCGTGTGTAGAAACACGATTTGCTGAGATCCGTTGCCAGAAGTCTCATAAAAGACCTTTGTGCGGCCCCAGACGGGAGCGTTGATGTAGATATACTTGCCTGTCAGGTGGTCTTCGTCGGTTTCCGGTTGTTCATCTTCCTTCAAAGGTCCATGTTGGCCTTCTCGCAGAAGTTCGAGAAGACGGGTGGCCAGGTGGCAGTACTGAGCGTACTTGACCTGGCTCCCGTCGACACCGACTCCTTCTTGCACGATATTCATGCCCTAGTCAAGTCACTTACTGCGCATGAACCGCTTTGGAAGATCCATTCCTACCTGTAACCCAACAAAGCTGGTATAGGGAGCAACAGGATTGGCATCGAAGAACCTTTCCCATTGCTCGGGCTGTGCTCGAAGAACAAAGTCTGCTTTGGAAGCAGGCCCAGTTGACGTCGTGGTTTTGGCACCAGGCGACACTGTGACGAGAATAGCCTCGTCTCCTCCAAGACTCTGCACACCCATTGTCACAGGTTCAAATATGGCTTTGGTGTCGACAAATGCTTGCCATTGGGGATCCTTGTCCAATGCCTTATTCAGAGAGGATACCGCCTTGGACATTGCCTGAGGCAAGGATGTCCAGGTATGAGTCTGAGACGTCATCAGGAATTAGCATCTAAACCGGTACTGCTAGAGAAACGCAGACTTGGGATGGTGAAATGGGTCTTCAGTGAGACGCACGGTACCGTTCGCGCCGTTGACAGGAGGCATCTTGACCAGATTGTGAGTTGTTGGACTGTCCTGGTTTGTAAAGCAGTAGCAAGTTATCCTGAAGGGTGAATGAGAAACATCTTGCCCGCTGCGACAGCTCCCATTTTAAAATCCAGCAGGCAGCTCTTTCTCCGCATGTGCATCATCGTGTCCCAGTTGGGGAGGCAGGGAGGGCTGCTTCGTAGCTTGAGGAGGGCGAATGGGGCGCAGATTGCCGTACCCTGTGAGACCCTTGGACCACGGCCTCGTCAGCGAACCATCATGTTTCCGAGATAGACCGACAGACCCTGTCCCTTGAGATGGAGGAAATGCGTGGAGAATGACTCGAGGCAAGTGGGTGAAGAAGAGCGAAACAACCAAGGATCCCCTGGACGACCCATCTCGGAATGCAGAGGAGCAGAGAGCCCCATGGACAGAGCCAATGAAAGAGCAACGACCCCGCAAGGTAAACAACTTCGAGAGGAGAAAGTTGTGAGGAGAGGTCCGAGAAGGATGACAGATGAGGTAGTCCCTGCGTTCCAGAGAATGGGAGACTGACGGACTTCGATCGCCGGGTTTGGAGACTGCGTGGTGGACCAGAAGGATCAGTATCGATGCCGAAGCCAGATTGGAGAAGAGAGGAGAAAGAATGAAGAGGTGGTGGAGTAAGCGAGCCATGAACCAGGAAACAAACCGCCTTATCTGGCACTGGGCTTCCTTTTGAATATGAAGTTGAGGTTGAGGTTGGTATGTGCCTTTTTGTCTCTTCGCAGTCTATGTGCCCCTCGATATCGATGCTGGACCCAAAACGGCTGCCACTTGGACTGTCTCGCTTGTGGCACCGCAACTGTCTAGTCCCAACTATACAGTGACGAGAGATATATGTACAAATCGAAAAAAGCCAATGACCTCTTTCAAAGCAGTTCGCGAACAAGCAATTGCTCCTCCCATTCGTGGATCGCATAAAAGCTTCAATATTACCCCAACCACGCATAACAGGAATGTTCGCACGCATATCAAGAATCATCAATCAACCGCCTTTCCTGCCACGCTTTCTTCGCCAATTCATACAGCGAGTCGAAGTCGCCGCTGGTCTCACACATGGCTCTGAAATGGCCATCTTCCTTTTGTAGCAGCTCCCAGGGATCCGCATACTCCACTACCTCGCCTTGGTCAAGCACCAATACTCGATCGTAGTCAATGATGGTTTGCAATCGATGGGCGATGGTCAAAATGGTGTTGTTCTGAAGCTCTCGTAGTGTGTCTTGAATCTTCGAATCGGTAGCATAGTCGATCGATGCTGTCGCTTCGTCCATCACCAGCACCTTGGGTGACTTCAACAATGCTCGAGCTAGACACAAAAGTTGTCGCTGACCCTGAGACAGATTCGAGCCTGACTCGGCCACTGGGGACGATAAATCTCGGAAAATATTTTTGTTTTCTTTCCGGTCGATCGCAACTTGGACCAGAGTGGTGTCCGATTTCATGGTACCCTTCGCAGAGAAGGAGATATGACTTGGGGGTGGACTCGAACCCTCTCGAACTGTTGGTGATCGGCTAGAGGCTTCAAGTGGCGTCGTTGCCCCCGATTGCTCCGAGCTGCTATGTGCGCCTGAAATGAGCTGCACTCGCCTCAGTGCGGTAAAGATTTCTTCATCGGTGAAGAGTTCAAATGGGTCCAGGTTGGTCCTTAGCGTGCCGGAAAAGAGGGTGGGATCCTGGGGGACGATCGTGATGGCTTCACGCAAGTCTTGAAGCCCAATAAGGCCGATGTCGACATCGTCGATCAAGATCTTCCCTGCCTCCGCCTCCAAGCCTCTGAACAAAGCCAGAGCGAGTGAACTCTTGCCTGCGCCTGTCCTCCCAACAATACCAACTTTGTGTCCTGCTTCAATCTTGAAAGTCACGTTTTTCAGCACAGGGTCCAGATCCGGGCGGTATCTCGTGCTGTAGCCGATGAACTCGACAACGCCATGGCTGGGCCAATTTGCCGCGGGCTTGGTCTCTGGGATATTCGCGGGTGCTTCTTGGTCGACATTGATATATTCCTGTATTCGTTCCACGGCATTCATGTTCTGTTCATTGGCAGCGTAGAGGCGCACCAACCACAGAACATTCTGGGTGAAGGTAATGGCATAAGAGAGCGCCAGTCCTGCAGCGCCAGGGTCGATGCGGCCAGCATTAAGGACCACAAACATTGCGGAGAAGAAAGAAACCAATGCCCCAGCAATGTCAATCCGAAATGCGAGCCATCTGTTAGTGGCCCACAAATAGATGAACGGGCGGTTGTGTGTGTTGACCTTCAATTGGCTGTCCTCAATGAATCTCGACTCGTCGCCGTAGGCTCGAATGGTGACCACTCCGCTCAGCGTCTCCCCAAAATGTTGGAACAGGGGGCTCCGCTGGACTGCCTCAATTCGTTTCAAGTCGCGTGACGAGCGGATGTA